GATGACCCATGGGTGGGCCCTTCCCTCTCCTGTGGGCGTCTACTTCTCCTTTTCAGGCCTTGTCATCCCTGAGCTCAGGCAGCCCCTGGAGAAAATGGTGTATGACTTATTTATAGTGCTTTCAGAAAAATAATGTAAATAGTGATTTTATTTTTAAATTCCAGTTAATAAAGGTTTATTTGATTTGTCTACGTTTTACTTCATAATTATGATGACATAGGAATCATTGGGAAAAACTGCATGTCTTTTAAGGATCCTATGTTTTTTCACTTCCAGTGTCACTTTTAGCTGTGGTCTTCCTCTATTTGGTGAACCGTGCCCAAGGTAAGTAGAAGTTCAGGCATTTTCTTCTTAACCCACAATAGATAATCTGTGGGGTCACTGGGATGTCTCCATGCCTTTCTAGAAGCCAGTGAGTGTTTTAGCTCAAGTATAACAACATTCTGTCCATAGTGATGGAAACATTTCATTATATAACTAGAGGCCTGGTGCATGGATTCATGCACGGGTGGGGTCCCTTGGCCTGGCCTGCGATCAGGACCATCCGGGGCTGTCTCGCCCAGTCCCCATCAAGGTGGATCAGGGCTGGCCAGCAAGGGAGAGACCGAGGGAGGTTTCTGGCCTCTCGTCCAGTCCTGATTGGCCAGACCCCAGCAGTAAGCTAACCTATGGGAGCGTCTGCCCCTGGTGGTCAGTGCATGTCATAGCAACTGGTTGAACAGTCAACCCAACGGTCGACTGATTGGTTGGACACTTAGCATATTATGCTTTTATTATGTAGGATTATGTATTCTGGACCTTCACGTTCATTAAAATTGTTGTCATGTTCTTTCTGGCCTGTTGAATGTAAGTTTTAGAAAATTTTGGATTTTTAAAAAAATACATTTTTATTGATTTCAGAGAGGAAGGGAGAGGGAGAGAGAGATAGAACCATCAATGATGAGAGAGAATCATTGATCAGCTGCCTCCTGCACACCCACACAGGGGATTGAGCCTGCAACCTGTGCATGTGCTCTGAGCGGGAATCGAATCATGACCTCTCCTGGTTCATAGGTCAATGCTCAACCACTGAGCCATGCTGGCCAAGCTAGATGTTGTTTGTATATTAGCATAAAGAAGTATATTAGCATAAAGAAGCATTTTTTTAAAAAAATATGTTTTTTATTTATTTTAGAGAGAGAAGGAAATGTTTCAATGCTCAGTCACTGAGCCACACACCGACTGGGCAATAAAGAAGCATTTTTAGAACCTAAAGCCCTTCCTGTGTTATTGTCTTATATTAAAAAAAAAAGTAAATAAATTTTCAGCTGAAATTTTCATTTTAAGGTTGAAAGTATTTGATATAGAATGAGAAATTGCAGATTTTTTCTTTTGTGAATATATGTGAACTACATGCATTTGTGCTTTGTGTGTGTGAGTTCTTTATAAGATTTTGATGTTTCCTATATCAATTTTTTCTAACTGCCTTATCCTTAAAGGCTGTTTGCTATATATTTAGAAGAATGTATATGTGTGCTGTTTCCATAATTTTAGGTCTTTTCTTTAATTTTTCTAAGTTTTCACTATTACTGAATATTAATACAATGTCCCTATTAAGAAAACCTGAGGTAATACAGAAATTCAAACTTCAAAAAAATGCTGAAGTTAAGGAGTGACTACTTGTATCCTATAAGGATTTAAAAATAAAAAACATTTTTCTCTTGGGACGGTTCCAGGAAATAAACTATTTCTTTCTCATATTTCATAGTATATCAGTGCAAATGTATTTGTGTGTGTGTGTGTGTGTGTGTGCTTGAGCTTGCGTGCATGTTTGAATTTTTATAATAGTTACATTGAAAAGATTTAATGCTTATTTGTGTTTTAGGTGGGAACCTAAATTACTCTGCAAGACAAAGGGAAGAAATGAAACTTTCTCATGCTGAGTAAGTATTGAAAAAGAGAAAAGTTTTTTTTTTTATTTTGAAAATCTTGGACATTAGCATTGTATTTCAAAGTATTAGAATTGGATTTTTAAGAAATCAGTCTTTTTCTTGTGTTTCGAGAGCTAATGATCATCTCTGGAACTATAACAACATTCTTGTTTGGGTCAGAAAATTGTAAAAGGTGGATATCAAGGTCTCAAATGAAGGCAGGGTGGGAGAATTTGGCTTTAAATTGCCTTCTGAGAGACAGAGCAAAGGTCTTTGTCCTGAGTTTCTCTGTTGAGCTCACCCTTCTATTCTCTGATGTTTTCTTTTTCTTAACTAGTTGAGATCATTTTTCATCTTTTCTTGGTACTAACATGCTATTCTGTGTTCTTTGACTCATTTGGAACAAATTAAAGTATATAGTGTGTTTTAAGTTAAATTAATATTTTTCATGAGTATATGCTACCATCTAATAGTGATTCTACATGCTACAACATAATGGTTATTCTATTTCCTATCATTTGTACAACATAATAGTGTATATCACACACTATTGCTATAACATAATAGTGATTCTGTTTCCTATTATTTCTAATTTTTTAGATAGTGAATACTTTTTCCCTTTAAAATTTTATTTTTAAATATATACCATTTAATTGTAAGTTTTGTGAATTTTGAATAAGTTAAAATCTGGTAGAACAAGGCTATTTAGTTCTGGGGGTGATTCTTGGTCATGTCAAATTCCCTTTTAACATAGTAATTCTATTTCTAGAAATACATTTTAAGAAAATAATCAGAAGTGTTGTGAGTTTTAAATATATTTACGATAGTCTGTTTATTATGTAAAAAAAAATAACCCAAATGTCCCATGATAGGGAAATGGTTAAATGTATTATGATGCATCCATATAGTATGTTTTTAAAATTATGTTTTAGAAGGACTTTTAAAGTCAGAGATATTTAACATGCTACATGTTAAGTAAGCAAAAGAAAAAAATGCAAATATATTCTAATTTAATTATTTTTAAAGTATGCAAACGTGTATTTCTTAAACCTATTATTTGTATATAATAGAAAAAATAGGAAAATAGGAAAAAATGAAAGAAAAGCCCCCAAATATTAACAGTTCTATTTGAATGGTAGGGTTATAAGAGTTTATTTTTTCTTTGCTTTTCTGTATTTTCTAAATTGGTCCTGTGTTACTTTTACAGTCATGAGGAGTTAAAAGATTATTCAGCAAAATGTGGACTCTCAGTATTTGGCGCTATGTGTTTTGTAATGCTAATGGTTTTTATTCTGTAAGCCAGATGGGGCTTTGTGTTTTTTCCTCCCCTTTTTGATAATATATTGCATTCTGTTTTGCAGATGAGAAGTTTAAATGACTGTGTCATGAGAGTGGGCTGCACACATCATTGATCTGAAAACCTCTATTAAAAAAATTATATAGAGTTTAGTCAATAGGAAAAATAATGGCCTGGAAAGTTATGTTTATATTTCAAGTACACCTGTTTCTAAGTATATTTGTGAGGACTATTTTACTCTCTGTCTTTTGTGTGTTGCTGAAGAATTTTACTTCAGAATAGGCTAATCAACAGTGAAGTTTAGGAAATTACTCTGGGACTTGCAGGTGAATTTCAGTAAGGACAGTAAATAATGGAGATCATTGGATTTATATTGAGATCATTTTCACAAAGTATATCATAGAGATTTGGCCTTTTCTTTATCTTAAAGCAAAAAATATTTTTTTAAAGCTTTTAAGGGGGAAAGGGATGTTTTATTATAGTGTAAACCATGGCATTTTAATAGGCATTCCCTTTTGTAATAGGGACTATTTGAAATATACTTGATGAAGTCTCTTCATTTTTACAAATAGATTGTGTTCTGCTCTTTTTACTTATGAGACAGGTTGCTGAGCGGTGACCCTTTTGAGCTTCTCTCTCTCTCTCTCTGTTACTAAGCACCTTTATTACTTAGGGACATAAGTTTGTGGTATGAGCTTTCTGTACAGTTTTTTAATATAGTCTAATTAATTACTGAAAATGTCCTCTAAATGATGATAATTCCATTTCTACATGGATAAATAAAAACATTGTAAAAGGAATCTACATGATGTCTTATAACTTTTGAGTTTTTTAAAAAAATCTTAAAACACTGATTTTAACTCTTATTTATGTGGAAGATTATAAGAAAATCTGTGTTGGACTAAAGAAAATTTACCTAATTATTTGTTCAAAGATTATGGGGATTAGCTTTTTCTCTAGTGTAGGACCTTAATGTGACATTTATGTTTTTCACATTAAATAAAATGTGGATATGAAATTTCTCTGACAGTTTTAAATGCTTTTCAATTGACTTATTAGTCTTAGCATATTAAAGTCAAGGACTTTTTCATGTATTTTGCTATATGTGCACACAGATATTTTAGACAACTATTAAACTAATGAGATTAGCTGATTATATTGTTTAAAGTACATGGCATAATATTGTATGCCTAAAGTTTCTGGGACAGATTGAAAGTGCATTCCTTTTCAGGGTAAGTTTACTTTCATCCATGTTTCTGATTTACAGTATATTGTGTCATTATTCAGTTGTTGGTTCTGTGGGCTTGACTGCCCTGTGCCTGTTCTAGCCCCTGGTGAGTGAAGGCTGGCCTCACAGCTGGGAATGGTGCAGGAGGTCAGCTGCTGCTGCTGCCGGAGGGCTGTGGTCTGGCCCTGCCCTCGTCTTTCCACTACCTCTGTGCCCAGCACAGTGACCTGCTTACATTGTTTTCAGTCGAATCAGGTTCCGTCCCTTCTCAGGGGCTTTGTCCATGCTCCCTTTGCTTAGAGGATTTTGTCCTGGATTCTCTATGACCTGGTTTCACCTGATTTCCAACAATCTTAGCCCCAGCTCAGAACCTATTAGAACTAATTATTCCTATGGGAACTAATTATTCCTATGGGAACTAATTATTCCTATGGTCTTGGAAAAATCCTGTACTTTTGCTTCTTAATTTATCTGAGCCTTTATTCCAATGAGGAATTTGTGATGGTGTGGGTTTCTGTCTCTTTCTTTAGATTGTAAGCTCCTTGAGGGCGAGAACTGTGTCTGCTAATGTTAATAATGATTATGTTGATAGTGCCCAGCACTGAATAAATATATTTTGAATTATTCATAAATAAAATGAGTAAATTTGAGTATCTTTTTTGAAGGATAAGTTGGAAATGTGAATAAGAAGACCTAAGAGGGGTAGAATGTTAGGCTGCAAGACTTTTGGCTTAGCAATTCCATTTCTAATAGTTTATCTTAAGGAAACCATCAGATAGATACACATTTTTATATATTTTAAGGAAGTATCTTCTTTGCGTGATTGCTTATAATAGCCTAAAACAGGAAACCTCCCAGTCAAGTACATCGTATCATGTCCCTAAAGTGAAATAGGAAGCGCCGTTACATGGTTTCATTGGCGTGCATACTGACCTAGGCAATGATGGCTTTATTATGTGGGAGACTCAGTGCTGCTGTTCCTGTAAAAGCAAACACAAACGTGTCTGAAGGGTATGCACATGAATGTCTTTGAGTCGGGAGAAAGTGGATTGTTAGAAGGGAGAAAGGTAGTGTTTTCCAAAGAGCTTTGAGGATACAGGAAGGAGTTAAACAGAACCTTGAGTTAGAAATAGAATTTGCACTTACAGTAAGAAAATTGCAGGAGAACTGTAGGAGACAAAGCAATAGAGAATGGGGTATGGGCTAACTGAAATAATGCACTTACATTTTGATCCCAGTGGTAGCAAAGAACAGCTGTAAGTTGTCTACAAGTTGCCCGAGATTTCTGGAATGCCTCCACCTCAGCCTCTTACTACCCCTTGGTTTCTCTCCTTTGCTTGTTCTTGGAGAGCTCCCCTGGGGGCAAGGGTGGGGAGGTTGTTGAACACTGAGCAGGGATTTGCCATTAAGAAGTTGGTGGGGAAAACTTTGATGTTTTGTAAGAAATACTGAAAAACCCTTGACATCGTGCAGGTAGGCCAGACAACCAACTTAGGACACACTTACTACCACTTATTCCCCTGAGGTGTTTGTGTATATGATCATGTTCTCAAATGATGAGTCATCTCCTTGGTAGATCTTTGTTATTCTCACATCAGGGCAGCTGTTCTAATTTACAATACTCCCTAAACTGACTTCCCCCATTGGTTTGACTACAAATCAATTGTGAAATGAAAACCAGTGGACCCATTTGGGATTAGCATGTACTTGGTAGGAGTTGGTCTTTTTGGAATGGATCGTCTCTCGTACTTGTCTCCTGAGTTTTACTAGGTAGTAGTTCTCTGGGCGTCCATTTCCTGATTAGCACATACAGTATCAGTTTGCTCAATTCTCCAAGGAAAAATCTGATGATGTTGGGGTTTTATGTGTTACCACATTCGGGTGGTTTTAACCTTCAAAGCAGATCCTATCTGCCCTGGGGAAGAGGTAAATAAAGGTGTCAGGATAATAGGTGATCCTTTTTCCTCTATCCAAGCCCAGTAGAGCCCAGATTTCAGAGGGTACAGTGGACAAGAGCTAGACACACTGTCAGTGGAATGAGGTGGGAGAAGAATGAGAGAAGCTGGATTTGAGCTGGCAGCAGCAGAGCTGGAGAGCTGGAGATGGCTGGAAAGAGAACCGCCCCATATTAGCAGCAGGAAGCCTGGGTGGGACATGAAGGTAGTCAGCAGATGGGCCTGGAGACGGCCCATCTCAGGTTTTAACAGTCATTTCTCATGAAATGGAGCGAGTGTCAGAGGAGAAATATGTGTCCTCTTTGGATTCTTGTGGGGTCTGTGGGGATGGATCCATTCCAGACGGGGTAGATGGGGAAGAGGGGGAATGGGTGTATTTAATGGGCATTTAAAAATGTTTTATTTTCATGACTTTATAGTTCTTTGAATTTCAGTAGATATTAGATTTGTGTTCTGGCTACCACACTAGGATATGGAACAGTTTCTTAATGAACATTTCAAAGGGGAACTATTTATAATGTTTTAAGATAACATATATGTGCTGCCTTCATTTAAGAGTTATTTTAGAAAGTTTTGAGTTGTTTTCCAGCACTTGGACTTTTGAAATGCTTTTCTAACCTGACGACAAAGTGCATAACTTTTTTATGTTTCTTTTACTTAAATAAATATGCTGTCTTTCAGAGACTACAATATTTCACCTTTTTCCCCCCCACAATTTTTAAAATATATTTTATTGATTTTTTACAGAGAAGAAGGGAGAGGGATAGAGAGTTAGAAACATCGATGAGAGAGAAACATCGATCAGCTGCCTCCTGCACGCCCCCCAGTGGGGATGTGCCGGCAACCAAGGTACATGCCCTTGACCGGAATCGAACCTGGGACCCTCTATCCACTGAGCCAAACCGGTTCGGCATATTTTACCTTTTAATGTCTCTGAAATTGGCTGTATCTTGTCTTTGACATCATCTTATGATTCAAAGAAATGTAGTAATGAGGAAAACCAAGCATCCTATATAATAAAAGGCTGATATACAAATTGTCCCCTCGGGAGTTCGACTGACTGTGAGTTCAACCGACCGGGAGTTTGACCACTCGCTATGACTTGCGCTGACCACCAGGGGGTGGTGCAAAATGAAGAAAGGCCCCGGCCTGCAGCCAGCAGCCAGCAGCCAGGTGAAGGAAGGCCCTGATCAGCCCTGATGGCTGGCCAGGCCTAGGGACCCTACTCATGTACGAATTTCATGCACCAGGCCTCTAGTGAGCCTATAATAATGCTTGATCATGTAAGATATGCGGATTTCTGTGTTATCATTCCTTTCTGGCATCACTGAACCTAGGCTCTTTAGTAGAGGTGGTGATTCAGAGATGTGGAAAATGTGGAACACCTTCCTTAAGGGTCTCATTGATGAAGAGGGGAAATGGACAAAGGACCAGTGGCTGTGATTGTGGTACAGCCTGATGAGCACTACCATAGAGCAATGGCTATTCAGAGCAATGGTATTCACAGATGGTCTTTGAGCTGCATCGTAAAGGATAAGTAGGATGATGCACCTAAGCAGAGGAGGTGTGGGTAAAATTGGGGGAAGGTCAGAGGTTCCAGAGCTAATCCTGAGAGAGTCTGCTGGTTAATGGAAGTGGGATGAAGGGGGAGCATGGAAAGTTTAGGTTGAAAGCTTTCATATGAGGCACATTGCTGAGGGCTTTTCATTCCATGTTCATTTTGATTTTTTTAAAAAAAATTCCTCACCCAAGGAAATGCTTAGAGAGGAAGAAAGAGAGAGAAACACTGATGTGCGAAACATTGATTGGTTGCAGTCATATGTACCTCAACTGGGAATCGAACCCACAACCCTCAGGCCTGTGCCCTGACTGGGGAATTGAATGGCAGCCTCTTGGTGCACAGGATGAAGCTCAACCAACTGAGCCACTCTGGCATGACTTATTTTTATCTTAATCCTGAAGGCAAATGGGAGCTTTTGGAAGATTTTTATGTTGGGGATTAAGAAAGGATTTACGTTTTGGAAGATGACTCTACTAGAAGGAAGGGAATGAATTGGAGGTTAAGGGGAACAAATGTGGAGTCAGTAGGTTGGAGCAGTGAAGCCCACGAGAGATGATGGGAATTTGAACGAAGGCACTGGCAGTTGAGAGGAAGGAGAGAACAGGTTCTAGTGATGCTTCAAACTTACTGTGAGCACGATTGTGACGAGGGGGAGAGGCTGGAGTTGAGGATGACTCTTCAGGTTTCCGGTGTGGATGGATGGTGTTGCCACTTTACCAGAAAGAGCAGGTTTGGGAAGAAAATGATTTCAGTTTTGGCATTTTGAAGTTTGCAGTGCCCAAGGGTCTGTTGTATGGGTGGAAGCATAGATTTGAAATATAAGAGGATTTCTGGCCCATCAGTGAGTCAGTGAGATTGTGCAGGAAGAGTGTGGGAATGAGAGAAGAGTGCCACGCTCAGCCAGTGTGGCTCAGTGGTTGAGCATCAACCCATGAATCAAGAGGTCACCAGTTCCATTCCCCGTCAGGACACATGTCTGGGTTGTGGGCTCGAGTCCCAGTAGGGGGCGTGCAGGAGGCAGCCGATCAATGCTGTGCTCTCACATCAATGTTTCTCTATCTCCCTCATTCTCTAAAATCAATAAAAACACATTTAAAATAAATCAGAGGACAGAATCCTAAGGTACACCCACCCACACTTACAGGGTGGGAGCAGGACAAGATGAGAAGGGAAGTAGGGGAGGGTTCATTCTGTGGAAGAAAGGGGGAGTTTAAGAAGAGAGTGGGTGACAGTGGCAAATGCCCTGACGCTCAAGCAGGATAGGGTCTGGGTGCCCAT